CGAGGGCAAATTTGTAATAAGTGTGGGTGCGTGTGTGCATGTCTTCCAACCCCCACTTCTTTCTCCCTTTTACTTACCTGCTTTGATGGTTAGTACTAGGACATATTTAATTTAGCATCCTTATGCTATGCATCATTCATCAGTATTGCATACATCGGGCTCGGCGCACCATACTAACTGCATAGTATTTCAAATCTAGACTTGAATATGTGCATCAAATGGTTGCATTTCACATGACATCCTAGGATTAGCCGGGCCTATCCTAATTGCATTCTGTATGCGTTGCATTCGGCACTTAACATGGACTTGGATCATACATTGATTGCTAACGAGTTCTTTGTTTCGGCTTGGAGTACCTTGTAAGTATTTTGTGCTTTAGCATCTCGCACGAGTGTGAATGTTAACATGACAGCATGCTTACCATGTGGCTAGATGCTTATGTGATATGAACTGCCTGAATGCCTGTGGGTGAAGGTTGGATTGCTTGAGTTGGAACAACTCATCAAAATCCGTGTTTTAGCCTACTCGCTAGTAGCAAATTTCAAAACATTTTCCAAACAAACGGATATGCGATGCTTTGTTCCAAATTAGGCGATCTAGTCTATACTTGTTTGCTGTGCGCATAACATAGTAATTCTAGGCTAATAACCGGAATAGGAACACATAATGCTTTCAAAACAAGATATCACGGTTAGTAGAGGCCGATCTTTGATCGGGCGAGAGGGGGTGCTCATAGCTGACCTTCCCCAATCGTACCCAAGTTCCCGAGCCGAAGCAACTTTGGTGATGACTGACACGTGGCCTTTGGCACCGAGTCAGAGTTTCCTAAATTTTCCAAAATAAAATATTTAGGTGGCGACTCTGTATCTGGCAAAGCAGTCCATGTTGGCACTTCTTTTCTAAAAATCTGTTTTTCTCAAAAACGATTTGCCGGATTTGGACTCTTTGGTTTAGATTAAGAACCGTGACAATTTGAGAGTCCTAAACCGTAGTGAACCCAATATGAACAGAACGGGACTCATCCTCCTAGGGCGTTCGGGGACGTCTACAGAAGGCCAAAACAAGGTGGTCCCAAAGGCTTAAAAAGAAGGCACAAAAGCAAGGCCGAACAAGGCCTAAGAGGGGGTAAACAACCCCCAACACAAAAGTGACCTTAAACAAAGATCTTAAGCATACAAAATCAAAACGTTTTCCAGTTAAGAGTTAAGCTTAAAACAGCATGCAAGTTGGTCTAAAAGCTTAAGCAAAAAGAGGGATTTAAAGGGTTAAAAGCTCACCCTTGTAGAACTTCTTCAAGGCTGCAACTCCAGCATGTTTTTCAAGCTCAAACCAGCCCAAGAACACCAAAACCAGCTCCTAAGCACCTCAGCAACAAAAGGATGGTGTTTAAATGTGTGTTTGTGTGTTAAAGTAAGACAAATCTACACTTTAAGGCACAAAACAAGAGCAAAAGAGAGATATAGATACAAGGCTATATGCATAACTCTAAACCAATTTTTCTGAACCTAGAGGAGGGAGGAGGAGCCTCCCTCTTATAGAGAACAAAAGCCAAAGCTTCTTGGAGAAGCTAAGCTTCAAGGCAATCCCTCCATAAACGTGTATGGAGGATGGCTCTAGTGCCCTCCAGCTGAGCTGGAGCAAAATATCTCCAAAAAGATGTCAAAAAGTAGTCGAGCACTTAAAGTGGTTAGCCAGCTACTTAAAGTGGTCGGCCGACCACTTCAAGTGGTCTCCCAAGAAGACAACAGGCCGGCCATGGGTGGGAGAGGTCTAGAGCACGAAAACAAGCAAGTGGTGAGGTGGCCCAAAGACCAAGAAAGCCAGTTATCCGACCAGAAAACTTGCTAACGGGAAGGAAAGTGGTCTCCAAGGAGAAAAAGTGGTCTCCCACCCTTGCACCACCTTCCAAACAAGGAAAACAAGGTTTGTACCAAAAACAAACCAAAACGGATGAAAGACGAGAGATCGGGAGGCAAATCACATGACCGAAAGCCTCGAAAACTAGTCTATGGGCATCAAAAGTGGTATGCGACCACAAAAGTGGTCTCCCGGACCACACTGTTCCTCTAGGTAGAGGCAACAAGGTGTGGTTCAAAAACCACGCCAAACAGAGAACGTTAAGCAGTCCCGAGACAAGAGGCGCGACCAAAGGCTCCAAAAATCGAAAACTAATCTCCAAACGGAAAAAGTGGCCTACGACCACAAAAACTGGTCTATGAGCACAAAGAGATGGTCTACAAGACCTCTCCCTCCCTCAAGGAAGAGAAAACAAGATTCGGTCCACAAACCGAGCCAAAGCACAAAAAGTTCAGAGGCCTGGAGGCAAGGCTCTCAGCCAAAACTCTGGAACCTCAGAACGACCACAACAGGCACCATCACCGAGCGCTCAATCGATGACGTCTGAGTCTCAAGGTCGGTCAAAAATGGGATGTCTACAACCTCTCTCTCACTCTAAAAATATATATCTCTCCCCTCTCTCTACATTTCAACCTCAAAGCTAGATTAAAACCCTTGATCTTCTTCCATCCATTGAGATCAAACCTTGACTCCTTCATCAAAGATAGAGAACTTCTCAAGAACTTCCTTGTGTGCAGTGGAGATCTTCTTTTAGCACCATCAAAGCTAGGGTTTCATCTCTTGTTTCTTCATCAAACATTGAGGTAGGGATTCCTTTGAGTTATATATATATATATATATATTTATGTAAGGTTTAAGTTGATTTTGTGGGTTTCCTTTGCTATTTTGAAAATGGGTTTGGTGGTTCAAGAAAGTTAATGATTTTTATGAAATAATCTTTATCTTGTGTTTTTTTTTAAAGATCTTCTAGAAGTATTGGATAATATGGGTGAGGATTAAAGAGTAAGGTGATATTTTACAAAAGGGATAGAAAAATGTTTGGGGTTGTGTGTGAAAATCTAGAAATTTGGGGATTTCTTAAATAAATGAGGGTGAAGCTTCATGTTGATACTACATATATACCTGTTGATTTAAAAGCTTTCTTGTAATCCTTGGGTTGATTTTGATTTTACTCCAAATACAGAGAAAGTTTTGAAGAAATGGTTTTGATCTCAATCTTTTCATATCTATCATAATGTTCTTTAACAAAACTCAAGAAAATGTGATTTTGATTGGGTTTCACCATGAAATGGGAGGATGAATGAAGGAAGGTAGATTGTGCTATATGTTTTTTTTTTTTTTTAATAACAAATCTTCTTGATATATGAGCTATGAGAATTATTTTTGCATTGTTACTAAATAATTGAATATGTATAGTTGAGGAGTGGTAAATCTTTGTGCACTATGGATTGTGAAAATTATAACCATTGGAGATCTATGTTCGAGAAACATCACATATGGCCTTGAAGAGGCAAACTGAGTAGAATTGTGCATGATGGGAAATTATTATTGTGTGTTGAGGACACATGGGTTTTTTTTTTTTTTTTGTGAAATGGCTTTGAAGAGTAGAAATGAGAAATGGGATTGATTGATATTGTTGTAGGGATATCTTGAGAATAGAAAATGCTATGAAATGGTAATTATGTCATCATGTTTCAGTTAAGTTATTATCATTATTGTGCATCTTGACATGTGTTGGAAAAACATTTATTTTGAGAAAGATTATATTGTAATGAGAATTATGATAATGTATACGGGGTAAATACGTGCTAAGTCCGGATAGGGGGTGTAGTTGAACTTGTTAAGTTGGCCTGAGTGTCCATGGTGAAAGACTAGAAACTGCGCGGATAGGTGTCGAGCCTTCCGATTAATACCAGTAAAAATTGCAATTTGGTAGTACTTGTATAGTCTACTTGAAGACACCAGCCTAGGGATTACCAGAGTCGTATTTACCGCCCCTATGATTAAATTGGAAGTTTGAAAATTAATGGATTTACAAAAATGATATTGAAAAACATGGAGATTTTACATGAAAGGCATGGCTCGTGATTATTTTTAAATGGCATATACATTACAATTGCAATTAACATTGGGCATCCTACATAAATGTATATACTTTGTTAAGGTTTCACTACTGGGCTTTATGCTCACCCCTATGGGATTTGGTGCAGGTAAAGATGTTATGATCCCGCCAAGCTAAGGGTGTGGATATATTTTGGTGAAGAGTAGATCACTCTTTCTTTTGTTGTAATCCTTGTAAAGCCTAGGGCTAATTTGGTATGGGTCCGAGAGGCCATTCTGTGCAACCGGGGTATTGCCTTGGAAGATGTAAGCCCATAAGGGCATTTCTTTTACTTTTGAGACTATATGTATCACATGCTATAGATTCAGGTTTCTTCTCATCATTGAATATGCATTTGCATGTGGAGCCCTTGTATAAACCATGGAGTTTTGTTTTTTTTTTATATATAAAAGATGGAGGATGGTTGTAATTAATGAATGTATGTGGTAGATGTATTACTCATGTCGGGATTATTTCCGGGCTTGACAACTTGGTATTAGAGCTACCGCGTTTGAATACTTGGGGCTCACGGGAAGTGGTTGTTATACCACAATGGGTTTATTTCGCATGCTTAGGAAATATTTTGTTTAAATTGTGATTGTGTGATAGCATGCTTACGTGACTATGTGGGTATAGGATTAGACTTTTGGGTTGTTATTTGTGCCTTTTAGATTCCTTGAGGTCTTATTAGAAGGGTACTTGATCAATACTCATTCTACTAAGAATTCTTGGTTTCTCATGGGACGAATCCCTTCACGAAAGGATAATTCGTATTTGCTTATGTGACTACGTGCTTATGTGGAGTGAATTAAATCGTTTGTGTGGTAGGATATATGTAATTGCTTTAGTTGGCACTTCTTTTCAAAAAAAAAAAAATCTGTTTCTCAAAACGATTTGCCAGATTTGGACTCTTTGGTTCAAGATTAAGAACCGTGACACAAAATCGAGTTCGAACTGTAGAGAGGGTCCCACGCGGGCGCGTCTACTGATGTCCACACGAGGAAATAGAGGATGGATGTGTAATAGGAGTGTCGATAGGTGCATGGCGGTTCCCCTAGCACTTGTTGTTACAGCATCAGCTATCGGCGAGGGATTTGCACGCGAGGTTGTGAGAGTGTTGCAAGATGCTCTAGCTCGCAATGAGGGGGACAACGGGCATACCCTCAAGCTTACTAAGGTGTTTCTTTGCTCGAATCCACTGGAATTTTGGGGGAGGCAAAACCACTGAAGGTGGAGAGTTGGTTGGAACAGATTACCAAGACTCTTGATATGCTCAGAGTCGAGGACGAGGGGTTGAGGGTTTCTTTGGTGACCTTCCAATTGAAAGGAGATGCAAAATATTGGTGGAAGTATGTGAAGGGTACTGTAGGTGCCACGTGGGTTACGTTTACCGAGGCCATGTCGGCCAAGTATTTTCCTCCTTCTACTCTGGAAGGGTTGAGGGAACAGTTTGTTGAGTTGCCCCAGGGTACTACTCCTTTGGCCCAGTTTGAGATGAGGTTCACTAGTTTGTCACGGTTTGCTCCAGAGTTGGTGGCAACAAAGGAGCGTCGTTGTTACGAGTTTGAGAGGCGATTAAGTGATGATATTCGGGAGAAGGTGATTGGATCTATGTAGAAGAATTATTTTACTTTAGTTGAGGCGGCGGCCCATGTGGAGACCACAGCTAGCAGTGTTGGTCGGGTTAGTGAGGAGGCCACTTCGGTAACTCCTACTGTTCGTAAGCACTCTAGGCTTAGTAAGAGGTGGAGGCGAGCGCATGCTCACTCCCAGACTCAGTCCTTATTTACATTAGGGGTTTCGAGCTCATCCGTTGGGGGATTCAGTAAGGTTCAGGCTCCGAATTGGGTTCAGAATTGGAAGGTCGTTGTTTTTTTTTATTATGGTCAGCGGGGCCATGCTAGACGTTTTTTCCCTTTACGTATAGATCCTTCCAATATTTCAGAATCCAGTCAGACGTTGTCCCATCAATCCAGTCGGGGACGTTATTGGTATCAGACCCGAAGGAGCCAAGCTTCAGAAGTTTCGCGACGGTCGACTTTTAAGCCAGCACGGTAGTATCACCCTTGAGAGGGACTTTTGTTTTAGGCATCTATGTTATAAATTGTGAAACTTTTGTGATTAATCGGTGTGTTGTAGGATGCTAAGGCACCATGGTTATGTGTTGTGAATGTATTGTTGTTTGTTACCCTCACGTGTTGGTGCTTGCTAATGAAACTTGAATTCCTTGTTATGTATGTGTAAATGGAATTGGTGATCCTAGTACTATTGTTTATCAACTATTGAATTTTGTGATGGTCTTATGATGGCCTTTGATTCTTGATTAGTTTAGAAATTGTTGACGAGGATTGAGAAGTCTGTGAAATTTTTGCGACAAACGTAGTGTTCGGATGAGGGCCAAAATTTTAAAAGTTTTATTGTGTTAAGTTTGAGGAAGTGTAAGACCTTAGAGTTTTGTGAAGATTGGTGGAAGTGATGTGGGAATGTCTAGGGAGTGTGAGATCCGCATCTCAGGGAAGTGATGGATGGTTGGTGTTTTGAGGTAACGAGTGTACCATTGGTAAGAATTGTCTTGGGTAACTCGGATTGTGTGATTGTCGTTGACCTACTCAATCTGGTGTTGGGTGTAAGAGTGTGTTGACCATTTATTCGTGTGAATAGAATTCTTTTGGGAATGATATGTAGGTGTTTAAAGACAGGGAGGGGAAACTCTCGGGTGATTAGTTAAGTTGAGTGGTATCAAGGTGGGTGACAAATAGTCACTTTAGAATGGTTTGGATGTGGGTTGTAAAGTTGAGCTTCTGGAAAATTAGTACAATTTGGCTAGAAGGCGGCGTAATGCCATGGGTTGTGCCTAGGGCGTTGGGCCTTGCATTTGTGCGTGGTTATCGGTGCGTGCATCTATGTGTAAGTTTTTGAAGTCGTGAATCGAGGTAGAGTGTTAGCTTCTGGGTTGGGAATACTCATAGGCTTTTGGGTACCGATGCTCTTTTTGGCTAATGTTTGTGTTGGTACGGAACTTTCGGAGATTGGAAAGTTATATGTGTTGCATTGTTCCATTTAACACCGTGATTATTTATAATTGTTGTTGTATTGAAAGATGTGGTTGTCTCATTGTGAAAAACACTGTAAGTGTGATGGATGTGATTGGGTGATGGTGGGAATTCACTAGGTGTTGTTGAGAAGATAAATTGGTAAGTGATTGTTGGCTTTTGAAAACTTTGGTGGCATTTCTATTTCAACTAAAACTCATGGGGTGAGATTTTAAAGCTTGTTTTGGGGAAAATAATTACAAAATAAATTGCTTTTACTCTAAGTTTAAAACATGAATCCTTCATTGCAAAACAGCACGAATTCAAGTAAAATTTTGGAGAAAATGTATAAATCAGAAAAATATTTTCTTTCAAGATGACGAGAACAATCCTTATTTTAACTAGTTTATGTGATCATGTCGCTATCTTTTGTGAATAATAACTTGCGCGGAAATAATAATGTCATTGGCCGAACGGAACGGTATAATTGTTGTATTCTGTTAATTAATATTGTGGAAATGCTATGTTATGTTGTTAAGTTTGTGGCATCACCATGTGGGTGATGGGTGTTGTTGGTTAACGGCAGAGATCCGCTGGTTGTTACGGTGGAGCGGGAATTAAAATGAACGAATTTTGAATTTTTGCTTGAAAGGAAGAAAATACATTTTTGACATCTGACCGGTGTGAGTTTGGAATACCTTTGAGAAAATGTTTTGCATGTAAATAGATGACTTTTACCAATAATTGAGAAAAAAAAAAAAAGAAATGAAAACCTTCTTTTGGAATTGAGTTGTTAATTATTGTACCCTTATGGTTATGATGGTGTAACCACTTTAATTGTATTTATAAATCTTGAGTATTGTATGTTCGGTTATGTGGATTGATGGGCGTTGCAAAAACTTGTTAGACCGGAGTCTTGTCTTGAGCCGAGTTTTGTTGTAACATTTTCCTTAAATGTGGTAACCAAGGATCTTATGGTGAAAATCTAGTTTCCCTTTGAGAAAATGTTTTGCATGTAAATAGATGATTTTTACCAATAATTGAGAAAAAAAAAAAAGAAATGAAAACCTTCTTTTGGAATTGAGTTGTTAATTATTGTACCCTTATGGTTATGATGGTGTAACCACTTTAATTGTATTTATAAATCTTGAGTATTGTATGTTCGGTTATGTGGATTGATGGGCGTTGCAAAAACTTGTTAGACCGGAGTCTTGTCTTGAGCCGAGTTTTGTTGTAACATTTTCCTTAAATGTGGTAACCAAGGATCTTATGGTGAAAATCTAGTTTCCATCTTGTTGGAGTGCTAAGCGTGGAGAGTGTTTGGGCTAGTGGTGGTGGATACCCGGGGCATGCATGTGGTTGCCATTGGTTGTTTGTTATTCTTGTCTTTAGACCCAGTGAGTGGTGTGAATTGAGGGAAAGTCTGTGACCCTTTCCTTGTGTTCTTGACTAATTCGGTATCCTTGGCGTTCCTAGAGTCGGGGTAGTATTCCAAATTTGGTTGTGGCCGAAAGTTGGTGTTGTGTTTCCTTGGTTGAGGGGGGGTCTTCCTTGGCACCGTTTGAGGCCTTGTATGGCCAACCTTGTAGGTCACCAGTCTGTTGGGCCAAGGTGGGAGATGCACCGTTGTTGGGTCCGGAGATCGTTAGAGAGACAACCGAGAAAGTTGCTCTCATTCGGAAGAGGTTAGCCACAGCTCAAAGCCGACAGAAAAGTTATGCCGATAATAGGAGACGACCTTTGTTCTTTGAAGTGGGTGATCATGTGTTCCTTAAGATCTCACCTAGGTGAGGCTTGATGTGGTTCGGTAAGAGTGATAAGTTGTCTCCAAGGTTCATTGGGTCTTTCGAGATACTGAAGAGGATTAGGGAAGTGGGATACCGGTTAGTTTTATCACCACAACTTTCAGGGGTTCACAACGTGTTTCACGTGTCTATGCTTAGGAAGTACGAACCCGACCCTTCTCATGTGTTAGATTGGATAGATTAGGAAGTAGATGAGGATTCCTCCTACGAAGAGCGGCTAGTTCAAATCCTAGATACCTGGGAACAAGTGTTATGGGGTGAGACCTTACCGTTAGTGAAAGTGTTGTGGAGACACCATGGGATTGAGGAAGCAACTTGGGAATGGGAAGCAGAGGTCCGCTCCAAGTATCCAGAATTATTGGAGCATGCTTAATTGCTTTATTTTATTTGTAATGTTTCCCAATGATGAAGGGGAGAATGTTAAATTGTTGATCACATGTTGTTGTATGTGTTGTTAATTTGAGCATGAGGTTTTGAAGGAATGATATTTTGCTACAAATGTTTTAATTCTTATGTCTTGAACGAAACAATTGTGTTTTGATGAAATGATGAGGAAGAAAATGGTAAATGATTGATTGAATGTAGATGTTGCAATTTGATAATGTTGTTAAAAAAAAAATCATAGTCGTTAGAACACTCTTATTTGGTGAGTCTACTTGATTTTGGGGAGTTTCTTCAAATTTCGGGGCAAAATTTCCCAAGGTGGGGAGGTTGTGACGATCGAGTCTTTGTTCCCTATTTCTTTTCTTTCTTCGTCTTCACTCCGTTCTTTTGCTCTCGTTGAGTTTGAAAATGTTAGAAAAAAAATTTCAAATTAAGTTCTTAGTCTCGTCATGTTCGGTGTGGAATTTCACCTGCTCTGGGGAGTGCACGGTTGACTTCGGAGTGCCCGAGAGTGGAATCTGGAATTTCTAAGCTGCTGAGTGAGGGCCAGACGTGCGAGATGGGGGCTGCACGTACGGGAGGCCAGGCTGCGCGTGCGGGAAACAGGGGAGGCTGGCCAGTGCATACTGAAATAAATGCACATACGTGAGGAGGTGCGGGGAGGTACCGCACGTGCGGGAGGGGGAAGCCTCACCTGCGGGAGAGCCCAGATCCAAGGCTCTGTTTTTATTTTCTTTTGGGGCTATTTGTATATCATTTTCATTACACCTCTCTCTCTCTCTAAAAATATATCTCTCTCCCCTCTCTCTACATTTCAACCTCAAAGCTAGATTAAAACCCTTAATCTTCTTCCATCCATTGAGATCCAACCTTGACTCCTTCATCAAAGATAGAGAACATCTCAAGAACTTCCTTGTGTGCGGTGGAGATCTTCTTTTAGCACCATCAAAGCTAGGGTTTCATCTCTTGTTTCTTTATCAAACATTGAGGTAGGGTTTCCTTTGAGTTATATGTATATATTTATGTAAGTTTTAAGATGATTTTGTGGGTTTCCTTTGCTATTTTGAAAATGGGTTTGGTGGTTCGAGAAAGTTAATGATTTTTATGAAATAATCTTTATCTTGTGTTTTTCTAAAGATCTTCTTGAAGTATTGGATAATATGGGTGAGGGTTAAATTGTAAGATGAGATTTTACAAAAGAGATAGAAAAATGTTTGGGGTTGTGTGTGAAAATCTAGAAATTTGGGGATTTCTTAAATAAATGAGGGTGAAGCTTCATGTTGATACTATATATATACCTGTTGAATTAAAAGCTTTCTTGTAATCCTTGGGTTGATTTTGATTTTACTCCAAATATAGAGAAAGTTTTGAAGAAATGGTTTTGATCTCAATCTTT